TTACTAATAGACTGAAATTGCAGTTTAGCATTATTTTCAACTACCTACTTCTCTTATGATGATCTAGAATGTCCTGCTCTCTTCTCCCTTTCCTTGATCTCTAATTACTACTTTTCTTGTAAAGTCTACCTCAAAAGGTATACCTTCTCCATAAACCTTCCCTACTGCCCTCAGATAGAAGTCATATTCCTTCTTTCAACTTCAAAACACTTATGTGCTTTATTTTTGCACCAATCCTAGATTATGTTTCTCTCCAGATACCTTTTATCTCTACTAAACTTTAAGCTTCTTGATGACAGATTCTATGTGTGTTCATTTTACTACCACTCAGTGGAATGGTACTTTGTACACAGTATGTGGTACATCCCTCTCCACCCCACATCTGATTTTGGGAAAGCTTATTTGCATTTTTTAATGTTTAATGAAATTTATAAAAATGCTACTGGTATGTTAAATCATTTTCTATAAAATGTAGAATTTCTTATTTTTCTTCTTAGATTCCAGACCTGGTTTTTGACAGGCCAGTTCTTGTTTACATCTTGTGTTTTTTGGTAAGCATAGAACTCAGAGATGTCAGGTGAGCTTTTCCTCTTGTAATGGTTACCAGACATGGTAATCGTTGGGAGACAGTTCTCAAGGGGTCTCTCACATGCTATGCATGTGTTGCAAGTAAATGTACTGTCTGACCACCTTTTCTCTGGACTTGTCTTTTTCAAGGATGTTTATATGGTGAGCAGAGATATTGTTTCCCTCCAGAGCAAAGGGTAAGTTTGTTTATGGTTCAGTGTAATAAAAAGTCTCCCTCCAGAGCATGTTTGCTTAGTTCAATATGGTAAAGATAACATTACCTTCCAGAGCGAAGGAGAGGCATGTTTATGCCCATTATAAAAAAATTGGGTTCCTTAACCTCAGGGTTTTTCTCCTGTAACATAACCTATTCCATGTATAGTTGTCACCTGGTCCTCTTTATGTTACTCTATGGGAATTGGGACTTAGGGAACTGGCACAAAAGGTAACACTGGCTACTGCTATTGCCATAAATAGTAAAGTCCCTTGTCTCTGACCTAGGAGTCTTGGGTCTTTCTCCAATATCTATGAAAATGGCAGGATAATTTGTTAGGTTAGACATAGGATAAAATCTCAAATCCCTCACAGTTCTTGACAGTAATATAAAAGCTACTCTTCAGAATTGCAAAATGGGCCCCTCTGCAAGTAACTCTTGTTAAATCTTGATCTACATTAAACATAGGTCTTTGGAAAGTGACTTGGATGAGGCTAGAATTCAGGTTCCTTATGACTATATACTGTGTTCTCTTTTTCCTCCTATTTCCCCATGAAACTAAATTTTTCAAGTTAAAAGACTTATTATGAGATTGTTCTTTTATCAAATAATGATGTTAACAGTGATCTTTCTCTTCCCAAAATAAAAGCATTGCTAGTTTTTATGGATGAGTGACATTGACAAGCGTATTGATTTGTTTACTTAAATATGAAGTTTGGAATGTATATTGCCTTTAAAAGCAGCATAGGGTATTTGAAAAGACTTTTTTTTTGATTTGTGTAGCATGATAATTTTAATGATAAATAACCTAATAAACTAGATAAATAATAAGACATAGTATGTTGGATAGATGTTAAAGAAAAAGGGAGCACAGGACAGTATTGAAATTTTAGGTAACGTTGGCTGGGGAAGGCCTCACTGAGGTAACTTGAGTAAAGAATTGAAGTGAGTTGGGAGACTAGCCATTCACCAATTTGAAGGGGACACATTCTGGGTGGTGCAAACAGCAAGTACAAATGCTCTGCAGCAAAGTGTGCCTGGTACAATACTTTGAGGAGGCCAATTTGTAATGCTTGAACACATATGAGAGAGAGGATTATAGTATTGCTCTTTGTCTTAGCTGTCTTTCTATGCTTCAACCACAGCACTTGCTTTTATGTTTTTATATATTAAGCATTTCTTCACTTGAGTTTGGGATTTCTTCCTTTAAATATAATTTTGATAACTACTGAATTAGATAAATTTTTTGCAGTATTCTCTAGTTTTCATTGATGGTCTTTGTAAGTGCCCATCTTTCAAGAGTTAATGTTAAGTCCCACATCAGATTGTTTAAATTCAACAGGTATTTGAGAGTTGATTTAGACCTTTTTTTATATGATTTATGTTTTAATTCCCACATGGATTATATTCTTTATATTTCTGTTGAAGAGGCTGAGACAGCCTAGAATAGTTAGAGAGTAATCTAAGTTAGCATACCAACTAAAACCTCTCTAGCCAAGGTCACTAATTATCCTTTGTTACTAAATATAAAAGCTCATTTTCAATTCTGGTTGGCCTGGAAAATTAACATTATACCATTTCTTTCCTGAAATACTATCCTATTCTTCTGGTTGTACCATTTCTGTCTTAGGGTTTAATTCCTCATTCCTTGAGTCTATACCTTGACTACTTCTGCTTCTCACTCTCCTTAATCTCCCTAGATACTTTGATCTACTCTATGACTTCAGTTACTATCTATATATTGTTAATTCTCATCAGAATTTCTAGTCTAAATTTCAGTCTTAAGCTTTAAGCAGTTGTAATAAGTCGGCTTCTAACATATCTATTTTGATGACCATTGGGCAACATGGGTTCAGATATTTAAAGCAACTTTTCATCTTTTCCCCACAAAGAAAAAAGAACTTATTCCTCCTATCTTTATTTTGGTAAATAGTATCTTTACCAGTTGATTAAGCTAGAATTTTTATGTTCATGCCCATTAGTCAAAGACCATCAAAAATACGCCCATACGTAAATAAAGTTGGGTTTATTGATGCTTTCTGCAGCAAGGGAAGCCACACACCATGGGGAACCATGGAGTGTCACAGTGACACCATGTTGGACAGAGAGAGAATTTAGGCTTTTGTTAGGTAATTTGGGGGAGGATTCAGGGAAGTGGTGGGGGTTTTTCTTTAGATTGGGTGCTGTCAAGAAGTGGAGGTAATTCTACGATTGGGTATCTAAATAAATCTTCTCTAGGAGGTGAGAAGAACAAGGGGAGGCTAAAACTGTAATTGGTAAAGAAACAGTAATCTCAGTCAGCTAGGATTTTTGTGTGTGTGTGGTTGTACAGAGACCTTGCTTTTATCTGTACTCAGACTCAGACAGACCTCATTTTGCATCACTTCCTTCATGGTCACAAAGGAACTTATCCGATGTTGGTAATCTGTGCGATTCTGTTTGACAGAAATACATCATAGCCTAGCTATGAGTGCTGTACCACCTCTTAGCTGTGAGGGGCTTTTTTCTTTCTCACACATTTGGATTAGGTATCATTTGGACAGCAGGAGGATGGATAAAGAGTGTTTTAGACAGGATATATGAACAAAAAACTTACATAGTATTTGCTATTTATGTGAGAGAAGCGGTAAAGAAACTTACTCTACTTGAAATGTATAAGTAGGATCTGGTGTTATATTGAGACAGAAATGCCTGGTTTGTTATTCTTTACCAGGGAAGAGGGGTTAGGGAGTAGTGTTATGTATCAGTCACATATGGAACTTTTTAAAGTCAAAAGTTTGCATACTTACTATGCGCTAGGCACTAATTCCTTGTATGGTCTTTATTAATCACTCAGGTGAATTGGGTTGGAATTGAAGCATGTATATCCCTGGCATTGGGAATTAGAACTAAACTGGAGATCCAAGTGGGGCTAGTAGTATAGAGTGGGATGTTTAACAGTGTGAGTTTCAGGAAAATAGTTTGTGTTTGAATCCTGCCCCATCCCCACAATAAGTAGTTGTATCATCTAGAGCAAGTTAATTAACCCCTTAGAACCTCTGTATTTTATAGATTTAAATGAGCAGTAATTATACCAATCTCAGAGGATTGGTGATACTTGGTAAGCATTCCATGTACAACAGCTGTTGTTATTACTTTGCTTCTATTGGCCATGTGACTTTGGACAGATCACAAAACTCCTCAGAACCTCAGCTCTGACATTACTTTGCAGGGTTGGTATAAAGATCAAAAAGTGTACATGGAAGCATTTTAGAAACAAAGTACTATAAAAATATAATAATTATTAATGTCCAGTATATTGTCTTTCAAATGTTTGAATTTACTTAACATGTAAAGGACTGTGGTTCAGTTGTGATGTTTTGGAGCCATATTATACAGGATCTAGAATGTTAATATGAGAAATTTAGATTTAATGCTGTGGACTGTAGAAAGCTAGCTCCAGATAGACTTTAATGGTAACACAGGAATTAGAGAAGGAGAACTGAGAGGCTCAAAGACCTGATTTATGAAGCTGTTTCAGGCCAAATAATGGTAGCCTAGTTTAGTAAAATGACAATTGAAGTGAAAAATCTTAGATGTTTCTAAGGAATTACTACAATTTAGTTACAAGTTGAATGTGAGGGATATAGAAATAAGAATAATAAAGGCTTCTTGAACTTTAATTTTGGAAATTATTGGTTAAATTTATTTAGATATAAATAGTTAATAAGATTGAAGAAATAGCCTTGTGACAATACAAGAGACTGGGTTTCAGATATTTATTTATCTTTCCTCATAAGTAGACCCAAATGTGTAATGTACAAAAAGAAAGCTTTTGGGAAA